GCTCAGCTCAACGCTCTAAGCGTTTAGATAAGTTGCGGTATGTGTGTATGTATGTATGTAATCTCAACAGTCTAGTAGCTAGACTGTCCACACTCGTCACGTATAGTTTCACTAACACCAGGTCTCCTGCTGCCCGTTTCCCGTATCAGACGGAATAGCTTTCGATGGTTACGAAGGGCAGCGGCCATTTCCATCTCTGATACACGAGGAGACCACCAGGGTTCGCGGTCTCTCTTCAGGCTAGCACGGAGTTTTGCCCGGAGCACACCGCGAGTTTCACTGTGTTCGCTTCCAGCCAAAACATGCCGGTGAGCATCGAAAACTTCCTGTGACTGCGAAGAGACCCAATGTCCATGTTGGCGATTAGACATACCACATGAGGATTTTCCTGCTGCTAATAACGTCTGGTGAATATGAGACCAGTGAGCTTCAACTGCATCCAGTGAGCGATTACTCAACTCGCATGACAGCGTACTTTGATAGGCATTCAGAGCAGCTGGTTTCGCCAGTTGGCTGGTGTCAATGTGCTCACTACATCGTCGTGGGCGTCCGCCAAAACGCATCCGCAGGTCTGCACGTACAAGTGCATGGTCAGTGTTCACAGCTGTGCTCCAAATCGAGAGATAGTTCTGGATGCCGCCCCTCCATCGGTAACTTATCGCAATGTGATCGATTTCCGTCCATAGCTGGTTCAAGGCTGGTGGGCGCCAAGCCACACTCCGGCGGGTGTTGTGTCGGAAGTTAGTGCTCGCAAGAAATAAGCGGGCATCTTCACACAAATAAAGTAACCGCTCACCGTTATCGTCACGGGATCCTACACCATACTGGCGACCCAGATGCAGTTCATCAATAGATAAGTTTCCAACTTGAGCGTTCAGATCCCCAGCCAACACAAGTGTCCGAGCTTCTTCTGTGGCGAAGGAGCCCGTTCAATTGGCGATAGAAGTCGTCTGTTACCGAATCATCGCTACAGTTTGTGGGTGCATAGGTCGCGATGACGAATAGACACCTCTTAGTCCCGCGCGACTTCGAAGCTTTGAACGAGCCAGGCAATCGGACCGCACACAACCGGCTACTGATTGGAATCCAGTCAACTAGAGCAGCTTCAGCCCGGGGACTAAGAGCAATACCAAAACCGGCTTGGCCGGTGCTCGAAGCTGCATCGTCAACGAATAGGCGCAATGAGAAAATGTTGCTGGTGTCGCCTGAAGGGGATCTTAAAGCGAGCACAGAGCTGGAGTCTTGCAAGCGAGTCTCCGATAAGCAGCAGAAATCTATCGAGAGGGTCTCGAATGTTCGGGCAAGTGCTGTCCGTTAACCGATCTGTAGCAATGTGCGTACATTGAGGCATGCCAATCTAAAGGATAATCGAGGGCTCCAAATGGAAGTCGATGAACTGGGCTTGGTCGTTTGGTCGGACATGGGCTTGTCGACAGGACAGGAATGACACTCCGTGTTCACATGTGAGTTGAAACTAGAAGGTAAAAGCCTAGCAAAGGAAGGTGGGGGATGGGCAAGAATGGGGGGTTGAAAATAGGGGGGATAAAAGTGAAGCTGGAACGGGACGATAAGAGAGAAAGAACGTAAGAGGGGGAATAAGAAGATGGGAAGGCTTGAGCAGTAGCATCCGAACCCCTATTCACCCTGATCGATGCAGCAGATAGGGCACCGTTGATTATCCTCTGCGGTGGCCAGAGCATCAAGAAACTGTTTGAAGATGAGATAACGAACCGTATAGCGAAAGCTCGGGGTGCTTTTGCTAACCTTCGCCACTTACGGCACCGGCGCGACATCACTCTCTCTCTCTCTCTCTGTCTCTGAAGGGTAGTGTGTATAATGCAGCGGTACGTTCGACCCTATTGTACGGTTGTGAAACCTCGACAATTAGTTCAGCTGACATAAAGAGGTTAGTTGCTTTAGACCACCGGTGCTTCGCAGTATGGGGGAACACCGTGTGAGCAATGAACGTGTTCGGCGCCTTGTTTGTGGCACAGGAAAAGGAACTGAACCGCTCAGCACCGTTATTTCACGCACCGGGCGCCGATGGCTGGGCCACGTTTTGCGCATGACAGTTCACCGACTCCCGCGACGTGCGCTGTTTGCGCACCGGGGGTGCAGGAGGAAGAAGAGGAGGGGTGGCCAAGCGTTGACTTAGTCAAGAAGAATGAAGGCGCTTGCTTAGAAGTTGGCTTCGGCTGGAGCCTCTCGGATCCCTGTTTGGGGACCGAAGGACGATGAACACACGTTTGGTTGCATACACTTGTTGACATGGCTAGGAGCCCACCTCAAGGGAGTTCGGGCTGCGACATTCTTTGTCCCTCCCCCTCCAAAAAAGATCTCAATTATTAGGCATAAAAGTACTTTTGCGATATAATAGCCAGCTATTAGCTCACTGGAACGATATCCTCCGATACTGGTGACTAAGCCGGCGTGCCTCCGTTTCATATTTTTCTTTCTTTTGTATTGCGGCACAATAGCTAAGATGTCTTCCACCTGCAGCTAATGCGTATGAGGATGGCAACTCAGTGCAGCTGAAGAGGATGTCTTTATCAAAGGGCGCAACTTCAGCGTCAAGGACGTTTGCCCTGAAGACTACTTGGCTAGCTAGGAATGCATTGAAATGAAATGAAATGTCGGAGGAGCCCCAACAATAAATACGGCAAACAGTTGTCTCAGTTCTAACTCGGAATATAGTCACCCAGACTCTATCCAAGGAGGAACAGGATGCAATCAGACGCCTACAGAAAGACGAAAACGTTATAATCTTACCAGCGTACAAAGGACGCATGACAGTGATAAGGGAAAAACCGGTGCACCAATAAGGCCACAGAAATGCTATCCGACACAACTACATATCACTTGATCGATCAAACTCCAAATGCAAAATTGGTCAACCAGATCAACGCAATGCTGAAGAAAGTAGAACCAAAAACGAGCTCACCGTCACGGAGAGATGAAGAATGAAAGTTGATGATACTAACATTGCACTGCTTTATGAACTACCAAAAGTACACAAGGATGGAGTCCGGCTACGAGCAATCGTCTCGCTTCCCGGAACTGCATCATGTGAAGTAGCGAAGGATTTGTGGTGGAGATTGAAACATTTGATTGCTGGAACCGAATAAAGCATCAACAGTGCTGAACAATTCCTCAACAAACTGCAAGGTGTCAAACTACAAGATGACGAAATTATGCTTTCATTCGATGCCACCGCAATCTTCACTTCAATCGGTCACGAACTAGGCAGAGAAACCATGATAGAACTATTTCAGATGCAACCAAGCTCAACGACAATCATACAACTCGGGAGCTTGTAAGAACTTTTGGACCTCTGAACGTGCACTTATTTCCGCTTTGATGGACAGGTGTACTAGCAACTGAAAGGAACGCCCATGGGATTCCCAATAGCGGGACTCAATGCAGAAGCCGTAGTCATCTTAAAAACGGAACAGAGTACAAATCACGCAACATTTGCTCAACAGCACATTCGACGACTTCAAATTCACTAAGGTTGGAGGATGCCGTGGTCACCAGGAAGACCGACGGATCTCTGCAAACGTACGTACATCGGAAGAAAACGCATACGAACCAGATATTAAAGTGCCACAACAACCACCCGATAAATCACAAGAGCAACATTCAAACCCTTTTCAAAAATCGAAAACACTGCGGCGTAACCGAATTGCGAGAAGAGGAAGGGATTCACCAATATCGAGTGTTTCAAAACAACGATAGCCAAGAAATTTCATCAGAAGCTTAAGGAAACGAACGTCTCAGCAACAGTAACGTGAGCAAGCAAACAAACGAATAGCGCTCCCCTACATCAAGAACGTCTCCGAACTAACAAGAAGTGCTGCAGTCACATGGTATCTCTGTGGCTCACAAATCAAGTACAACCCTAAGGGAATAGGACTTGAGAATCAAAGAAAAAGTCAAGCCAATCGACCAAAGCAATATCATCTATCAGATAAAACGCAGCGACTGCGATAAAAACTACGTCGGACAAACTGGAATAAAGCTTTGTAGACGAATCACCAAACACAAGGCGGCCGTCCGAAGACATAAACCGCATTCATTGGTTTCTGCGCATGAAGATCAAGTAGGCCACCATTTCGATCAGGAGAATGGAAATGTCCAGACACATGGGAGTACAAAACACACGAGGGAGTTTTTGGAGGCATGGTACTTTACAACGAATTCAATCAATCGACACATTGAACTGGACGCAGTACACACAACATAACGGGTGAACGACCGCCAAATCGATCGATTAAATCCGTCGGAACATACTAAACAACTAGATCTGGCGACAGACTCGTAAACAACAGATAACAGACAAGAGTCACGAAACACAAGTCGGACAGGTCAAGTTCAAAGGACATCTGTCCACTGAACAAGCTGAACGCAGGTTGAAGTCCCAACCAATAGGACTGCTCGTCTCCACGGACAACCAGGACGGTATAAAACGCACGCACACTACGCTCGGCGCACTCTCACCGAGGCCTCTCTACGCTATGCAACTACACACTGACGATGTCACCCCGATTGGTGATGAAACGTTTGCAACAAGATGGCCAAGCTCAGCGAACAGCTCTATGACGATTTATTGTTCCGTGAAATAGCAACTGGATGTCTTTTGTGCACAATCGCAGTGGTAACTTAAAGCGATGCGACGGAAACCCCACTTTGTCAGCGTGAACCCCAATGGTGTCCAAAGTCTTCTCCAATGGAACGTTGGTGAACAATGAACATATACACAGGCACACATACACATACAAAACCATGTATTTCCTTACTAGTACTTTTTTAGTGAGTTAAAATAGGCTAAATAATAAAGTGCTTTATCGAAAGGCACTATGTTAAGCATGCCCCCGTTGCTCAGCAACTCAGTAGTGAGAAAAATTGACAGGTCTTATATACAGAACAAAGTGAACAGATGATTCTCGATGTGTAACGATAACAATTTCCAATCATGTAAAAGCTATGTAGCTACCACCTACTTTCATCTGATTAACGGGTTGCATCCGTTTGCACCGAACAAAATCCCAGGCTCCTACGGCTTAAAAACGATAACACATTTGTGAGACGTAAGGGTACACTCACCTTCTAACATGCTTTGGGAAGCTCTACTGAGAGCAACTGTGCGCGTCTCGTAGGTATCCTTTAATAGGTACGGTTTATAAGGTGCACTTTCGAGCAGAAGAATGCGTTTTCCATTGAAAATAGGAGAATTGGCTAAACAGAAGTGGAGCTTTAGTACATAAGAGAGCTCACCTGCTAAGGCACAAAAGCTTAGACCAGTCATACCACCTCCAACGACAACGATATCGTAAAATGATTGGTTCGGTGTCATCGATGCATGATAGTGTCTGATGCAACGTCGTGAGAGTTGTTGTAATCTTCCAAACATATCCTTAAACATGGGTTCTGAGAAAGTAGAAAGGAAATTTTTTAGCTAGGATGCATTTCACTATAATCAGAAACAACGACTTAGAGGATTGGAACATCGGACAGTAATGATGGCCGTTGCGGAAGCGCACCGAAGCGTCTGAAATCATAGTCAGCTGTCATCGCTGCCTTCGCAGCTTAGCTCATGTCTGGTGGGAACACCGCGTGAGCAATGAGCGTGTTCGACGTCGCGTATTTGGTGCAGGCAGAGCGAGTGAACCGCTCAGCACCATTATATCACGCACCAGGCTCCGATGGCTGGGCCACGCATGCCAGCACACTGACTCCCGCGACGTGCATTGTTTGCGCGTTGTGGGTGCGGTTGGAAGAGGAGGAGGGGAGGCCAAGTGATGACTTGGTCGAGAGAAATGAAAACCCTCACTTCGAAGTTGGCGTCGGTTGGTGCATCCCGACTGCCTGGCTGGGGTCCTAAGGACGGTGAACACGTTTGGTTGGACACACTTGCTGATATGGCTCGGAGCCGGCACCAATGGCGTTTGTGTTGTGATTTCCTTTGCCCATCCCTCTCCTGTTTAGTATCCCCCTCCAACCACGATCTCATCTGTTAGGCATAATATGATTCTCTTTTTACGGCAGCCAGCTGTTAGCTCTCCGGAACGATGTCCATCCGTTACTGCGGACTCAGCGGGCGTGCCACTGTTTTTTTTCTTTCCTTTTTTCCTTTTCTTTTATTTTGTATTGCGGCACAATAGCTGAGGTGTATTCCACCTCCAGCTAACGTGTAATGATGATGATGATGATGTCAAGCACGCAAGTCCGCGGCTGTCAACCATGGCGAAGTGGCACTAGCTGCTGGCATTCAGAAGTCATGGGGGCGGAACCCCGCAAGGGTCCGCTGGGAGGCGCGCCATTGACGAGACCCAGAAGGTCGAAACGCCGGCTGATTGAGAGTGGCAATGATGAATTAGCTAAATGATACCAAAATCCTCATTACTCAATAGTACTACATAGAACATCTGTCCGTATAACTTGCAAGTCCTCGTACCGTTCCAGGGCGCTATGCGGAAAGTTCTAGCTTGTGAGACTAGCCACCGTCCCTTGCACAGTTTGTAACTGGCATGGCAGTGGAAGATGAGCTGGGCTACCTCATAGTCAAATGTTAATCATGCAGGTCCGCGGCTGTCACCCATGGCGTAGTGGCACTAGCTGCTGGCATCCAGAAGTCATAGGGGCGGAACCCCGCAGGGGTCCTCTGGGAGACCCACCACTGACGAATCCCAGAAGGTCGAAACGCCGGTGTCTGGCGCATTTTCAGACTAGCCTAAGCCCGCTGATTGAGAGTGACAGTGATGTATTGGCTGAAATAATACTCAGAGAACTTCAAATGACTTAGAATGCCGTTTCGAATCGGAGGGCAGTAGTGAATGAATGAAAGATGGAAAAACATCAACAGTACGCCGGTACGCAGTGTCGACGCGTCGTTGCCGCGCAATCACCACCAGTTGTCCATGGGTTAAGGATGCTGCGAGGGTCACCCTGGCCCTAAGCAGGCTCGAACCCGCGCCGTCGTGTTAGAAGGCAGGCTCCCGATTTTTAAGACTACGGGCTGGAAGTAAAATAAGAGTCGTATATCATTTCCAGAACGAGACACTATATACGAGGGTCACTCAATAAATGAGGTGAATTTTTCGGTATAAGGACTTCTAATACAGATAGAAGCTTACTTTTTGTTCATTTTTGTTGTTTTACTTCTCTTTCATATGTACGTAATTCTTTTGCAGATTGAAAAAAATTTGAGAGTTGTAGCGATTAACAAAGATGGCCGACCCAGAAGCATACTCCCGAATTGAACAGCGGTCAGTTATCAAGTTTTTGGTTGCTGAAGAGTGCAAACCAGTTGAAATGCATAGGAGAATGTCAACTGTGTATGATGCCACATGTTTCAGTCGAAAAATGTCTACAAGTGGGTAAAATTGTTTAAAGAAGGACGGAGCAGTGTTGAGGATGAAGACAGGCCTGGGAGGCCTACACAGAAGTGAGGTCTCCTGAGGTGATCGAATCAGTCAATGACCTCATTCAGTCGGACAGAAGGTGACAGCGGATGACATTGCAAGGGCTTTGAGCTTATCTGTTGGGGCGGCACACAAAATTGTCCATGTCATCCATTGTCACCATTCTGTCCGACTGAATGAGGGCATTGACTGATTCGATCACCTCAGGAGACCTCACTTCTGTGTAGGCCTCCCAGGCCTGTCTTCATCCTCAACACTGCTCCGTCCTTCTTTAAACAATTTTACCCACTTGTAGACATTTTTCGACTGAAACATGTGGCACCATACACATTTGACATTCTCCTATGCATTTCAACTGGTTTGCACTCTTCAGCAACCAAAAACTTGATAACTGACCGCTGTTCAATTCGGGAGCATGCTTCTGGGTCGGCCATCTTTGTTAATCGCTACAACTCTAAGTGCTTTTCAATCTGCAAAAGAAATTACACCCATGTGAAAAAGAAGTAAAACAACAAAAATGAACAAAAGTAAGCACCTAGCTGTATTATAAGTCCGTATACAGAAAAATTCACATTATTTACTGAATGAACAACGGGAAATATAGGTACACTCACTCTCATGACTAAGATGTGAAACAGAACATGTAGTATCAACATCATGAAACTCGCTAGTCAGCTGCCGGGGTTGTTCACTTTACACAAATGAGCCAACATGTGAACACTTACAACGAAAGTTGTTGGGCGTTTCCCGACACGTCTTTGGATTTATTCTTGCGGTCGTGAGGTAAAGAAGTCAGCTGCAACATAACAGTTCCTGGCGACGGAAGGTGTCGAACATTCATGGCTATTTCATTCGAACAGATGCGGTCCCTTCTTCAGCAGCTTCAGCTTGAAAAGTCACAGCGGCAGTTAATTCAGTTGCTATCAGAAAAGCTGAACATCCAAGTGGATTGGGAACCGGAACCTGGGTTAACATAACAGGAAATTGAATGCCACAGGCTGCTCAATTCGAACAATGGCACAATGAGGCAATCTGGGAGAGATTGCGCGTACAAATATCCTCACTGTCAAGAAGCAAGCAACTACAGGCGCGTGCGTACTCCAAGGGTGCAGGCATGCTTGAAACTGAAAAAAAACAGATTCCACATTGCGTCGAGATTTTCAGAGAAGAGAGGACACTTAACCTTGAAACGCGATTATGTTCCGGTGTCAATACAAGCACAAGCAGTGTCTGCTATCACGATCGTTTCTAAATCTACATGGACAAAATTTGACAAGTCGTCGGTCAATTCAACAGGGCACATGACCCAAAATACACCAGAGGAACTGTTACAGCAAGACTGAGTGATTGCTGGTGAACGAAAACTCAAGGAACTGCAACTCTTGGAAACCATTTACCTAGCAAGAAGTACGGACATACATCTATCCGAAGTGGAAGGAATTCAGAAGTTATACTTGTTCAGCGATATTGTCCCGAATACTTCTGTACTGACAACTTGTTCGAACGAACATTGTACACTTGACCAAAGCACGAATCACCATGGGCCCGGATCCAAGTGGACCCAGGTGGATTTTCCCGTCAGAAGGGCTATGTGGACCAAAGGTGAATTTATTTCTCAACAAGAGGGAGATGTTAGAGGAGGAAATAAAACACAGATATACTTGTGTATCCGTTCATGACTGCAGGCTTTCGTTTTGCTATGCTGGTTCACTGACGTTTGTATTAGCACATCATTTCGCCATCCCTCTTGGTTATTTAGAATCGTTGTTTTTGCCTTCAAATTGCAGCCATACACTGACGCGATTACTCTCACTTTACGTTCGTAGTGTGCAGTTGATTGATTCCTTATTTGTCCAATGCTTTATTGGCTCTCCTTGTCCATACGCTTTCCGTACTCTGGTTAGTTTTCACAGTTGTGCGTTCTGCTATATAACGAAGTGGTTTCCCTATGTAAAAGAACCCTTGAATCATTGTCCCTGGCCGTTCGTTTTCTCACTATTGCTAGTGGGTGGAAGCAGTCGCGGGGCTCCAACAAATATGTGGAACAGAACATGTAGTTTCAACATCATGAAAATTGCTAGTCAGTTATTTGCCGGGATTGTTTACTTTACACGAATGAGTCAACGTGTGGACACTTGCAACAAAAGTTGTTGGGCCTTGAACATCGAGATTCCAAACTTCACTTCAAACCGAGAAAGCGTTGTAGAGTACTTGTGCTCCAGTGATAATTGTTGATCACAACACCCAATTCTTCACTCGAATGCAAGAACTAATGTGGATTATTGTAAACACCAAGCGCTTGGCAGGCTGGAGCTAACGCGGTCCCAACATACATACATACATGGATTGGCGGCATCCGTGTCCGGCTTTGCCACCATCGCAGTGAGGCCGGACCTTACCGTGGTGCGATGGTTTGCGTATCTTAAAGATCCACTGAGCTATGCTGGGTGGTGCTTTTTTCACCTACAGAGCCATTCATACCCGATTGGTCAATGGTTAAAGGTCAGACAAACTCAGCCTCCTGGTTCTCCAGGTCCTCCCATTCCAACTTCACTTTTATCTCACCAGTTTTCAACTATGGATTCTTGGCACTTCCCCTTTATACTTTGCTAGTCTTTTACCTTCTAGTTTCAACTCACATTCAAACGCGAAGCGTCACTGCTGTCCTGTCAAAAAGGCCAAGTCTAACCTAGCGTTCAACCCCGTTCATCGTCTTCCATTCGGAGCCCTCGATCAACCTTCAGATTGGCATGCCTCAATGTACGCACGTTGCTACAGATCGGTTAACATGCAGCGCTTGCCTGAACATTTGGGACTCTCGATCGATATCTGCTGCTTATCGGAGACCCGCCTATAAGACTCGAGTTCTGTTCTCACTGCGATTCCCTTCATGTAATCCTAGCATTGCTTTCTCATTGCGCCTATCCGGTGACGATGCATCTTCGAGCACCGGCCAAGCTGGTGTTGGCATTGCCCTGAGTCCCCGGGCTGAAACTGCTTTGGTTGA